TTTAGATAAGTGTAACCATAACTAAAACCTCAGGCATAAATCAGATTGCATGTTTGACCACTCTACTTGGCACAAAGAAACATGACTAAACCAATTTATTTTGAAGCAAATGCCTAACTTTTTTCTTGTGTGTCCTGTTTTGCCAATATACAATGTTCAAAAAAATAAAGAGAGTACACAAATAACTCAATAAAGCAGCAATCAAATCAAACTTCTGTGATCTCAAATTGTCCACTTAGGAAGCAACACTGACTGGTGATCAATTTCATATGCTGATGTGCAAATGGAATAAACAATAGGTGTAAATTATTGACAATTAGCAAGAGCAAGGGATTTTCTTTTTTTTGTGCTTTCACACTCATGGTACCATGAGATAGACTGTACAACCCACACAACTGGCTCAGGTTGTGCAGCTCATCCAGGATGGAACATCAATGTGAGCTGTGGCAAGAAGGTTTGCTGTGTCTCTCAGCATGGCGGTGATTACACAAAATTATTCAGGGATGTTTATATCTGTAGCTGCAGCTTCCTATTTAGTATTAGTGTGTATTCTTGAACACCTGCAACCAAACTCCTGTGGTATGTATGCATGAGCATGCATGTAGCCTATATGGCGTAACAAGGCTTCCTCAGAAGGAAAATATGTTCAATAGGTGTGGGCGTCCCTAGGATCGCACTAGAGGTCCCAGGATTGATAATGGGTGACAAGAGCTCGAGATATCCAAAGGTACCCCAGATGACCTGGACACAAGAAGGGGATAAAATAAAGATGGCCGCACCAAACAAATAAAGGGCAGAAAATGGGGCCCGAAATTGGAGGGGCCAAATTCCAAAAGGCCAGGATCCCAGAGGAAAATTGAACTGATGTCTCACAGGGCCACTGAAGCGAACTCCCAGGCTCCGCCGGCGGCGAGTCACAACAAACTTGGACCCGGATAAGAGCCCAGTGGTTCAAGGCCCGGGCATGCACTGCAGGGGCAGGAGGCCCAGCAGCCGCCAGGAATGAGACAGTTCCAACCAAAGTACCCAATCCTCCACCAAGCGCACCACCAGCAGACACAGGAACCACTCACTGCACTGCAAAAACCATCTAAAAATGACAAAAAAATTCTTAAATTAAGTGTATTTACCATTAATTTGAGTAGGTAAATACGATGATTTGCCAATGGAATGTGTAATTTTCGTCTTAAAATAAGATAATTAGATAATATGCACTTGAAATAAGACAATGTAATTGTGTTTTCTTATTTTAAATGTAAATTGTCTAGTTTCATTGGCAAAGTTTCTCAATTACCTCCTCAATTCAAGAAAAAGGCACTTATTGCAATAAAATTGCAATAAGTGCAGTTTGGCTGGGAGCATTAGAAGGGAGAGGAGACAGGCCCCGCTCATAGGATATTCACACAATCCTAGCCGTACTGACACTTACAAGCGTTTAACGGAGACACATACAGGAGCAGAGACTAAACATATTCTTACCCTCTTCATACATTCACCATTCTCGCAGGTCTAGGGGCCACTCCCCCTGGGGGAGAATAGGAAACAAACAGTATAAAAATTTGTTAAAGGTTTCAAGGTGAGGCTTTCAACCCCGACACGCTGTAAAGCAAGTTGGTGGCAACACCATGTTGAGGGTCTCCTTCACTGGCAATTAGATGTTGCAACAGAACATTAAATAAAGTAAGTAGTTTTCTGAAGGAGACCTGACCTCAACCTGACTAAAGTCAATTGACTACGCCTGAAAAACTAGGTGCACACCACCAACTAAACGATTTGAATTCATCTTAGAGCTTAGTCATTGCTACGATGTATTTTAGGTGCAACTTTCTAAGCAAATACTACAGTAGTGGAGGTGTCCATAGGTATTAGAGTATGTATTTTTTTTCCCCCCAAGCTTCTCAAAGTACATTCATTTTTGGACAATTAACCTTTTGTCATGTTTCTAAACGTGAAAAGTAAAAAGTAAATGTAGATATAGCTTTTTATATAAACTGTTTCAACAGGAGATTGTCCTCAATCTTCATAGGAATTATAAACTGTGACACAAGTATATTTCTTGAGGCATTAAGGCCTCATTATAAAATCCATGCCTGGTCTGAACCACTTGTTTTCACAGAGAGCGCCCCACCACAGCACTGGATCCTGCCCTCCACCAGAATTTAAAGTGCTCTTGACGGTGCCAGGAGTGTGTATGCGTGCGTGTGTGTGCGTACATTACGTCTGAGTGGAAGCATGCCTAATGTGGGAGAGAGAGAGTGCATCCAACACGGCTTCCAGCCAGCGTCAGCATTGCCGTCCTGGAGAATTAGCCTGTCAATCCGCGGTAATTCCTCTGGACATGGGCTGCTCTCAAACTCAGGCCGCCTTCAAACTGGAAGGACTGACTCGACGCTCTGTTTTCATGAACTCAGGTGAAGACAGGCGAGTCAGGCTTCACCACGGTGCTGAGCTGCTGCACGGGGTCAAGCTGACACGAGGGTGCTTACATGGCTAAACTCGAGAGGATTTTAATCAAAGTTTAACATTTTTACATTTTCTCACCTCACAGACACAAGCTTAATGTGTCTTAGATTTTTTTTTATGTAATAAATCAACACGAAAAACCAATACAGTGACTCCAGACTGTTTCATCTCATGCAGTTTAGTTAGTCTACCTCAATAAGTTTTGGTTTTAGAGATCAAGAAATGTGCTTCTATGTGAAGGAATCCCAACATTTGATAAAAAGGACAGCTAAACAGCATATTTTTATTATTTGAAACCAAAAAGATCTTCACTGGAGTAGAGGTGGTCAGTAATACCAAATTCCTGGGGAAGCACATCAGACAACCTCACCTTGACTGTAAACACCAACTCACAAGTCCAAAGTGCACATAAACGCTTGTACTTCCAGCAGAGGATGAAAAGAGCATACCTGCCCCCACCCATCCTCACCACCTTCTACAGAAGCACATTAGAGAGTGTTCTGAGCAGCTGTCTCACTGTGTGGTGTGGAGGCTGCAACGCCTCAGACTGGAAAAGAGTGAGAAGAGTAGTAAGAACAGCAGAGAGGATCATCAGGGCTGCTCTTCCCTCCAGAAATGACATTTCATCCGAGCGCAGCGTGTCTTGAGCCCGTAACATCATCAATGACCTCTCACACTCCCACCATGGACTGTTCTTCCTGCTGGCGTCTGGGAAGATGCTTTGCAGCATTCAATGCAGGTCCAGCAGATTCTGCATACAGTTTCTTCCCCAATTCCATCAGAACGTGGAACTTTTGAAAAAACTCTAAATCATGTCACACTGATAACACCAAAATACTGCATATTTGCACCTTTTTTGCACCATGTTTTTTTTTTCTTCTTCTTCTTTCTCCACACTGTTTACATTTGATCACTGCTGCACTTCATGGAAAGGAAACGTTCATTCACTTTCTGGAAAGCTTTACTAAACGAAATTTCGTTTTGTATACACTCTGTGTATACACAACGATAATAAAAGTTGTCCAAGTCTCTAAGTCAACGATCACTGAAATCAACACAGAGCTGTATTGGCGTCTTTGCAAACTGTTTATTTGGTTCAAACAAAAAATGAAAAGACTACATTAAGGGCAGATTAAAACAATAATATGGTTTACTTTTAAATGTGCATTTAAATCATAACATTACTGTGTTTTTTATATGAGAAGCACTGAATTTGTTTATCCTTTGAAGTGAGCAAATTAAATCCAACATAGAAAACAAACAGTTCACATCCAAACAGACATGCCAAAAAGGAAACAATGAGATCAAAAAGTGATATCAGGTTAAACTACAGTCACAGTTGTGACCTGATGCTGGTTTGCGACATAAAAATGTAATAAATTCAAATATATATATAAAAAACAAAAAGCTGATGGGTTATCATCTGAAAATAACATTCAGTTGAATGGTGCCCTGCAGCAAGTCAACAAGGATGTTTGAAAAATAAACATGGTGCATTTCAGTTACCTACTACACCCCTGAAAAGGACATATACTTCAGTTATTTCATTAATTTGAATGATTATGGCTTATAGAAAAATAGAAACCCAAAATATAATCCTTTATAAGATTACAGCCAAACATAAGAACAATACTGTAAACAAAAAAAAGATTTGATTTCCGACTCTATGGAACAAAAAGTGGTTACTAAACGAGTTGAACACTTTCCAATTCCAAGCATAATATGGAAAATTGAGTGCAGGAAAAAAGTACGGTAGAAAAAAGTGCACAAGCAACAGTTATAGATTAGGAGGTATTGCTGATGGAAAAACAACCTGAGCTTTGTTACACTTTAGCTGACCAATCACTTTCACGCAAAGCTGCACTGGTGCCGTAATTCATTGAAAAGGAGCCCCAATAAAGTGATGAGGGCATCTATAGTAAAATACATGGACAAAAATAAATTTTAGTAGAATAGTATGTTTGTATTCAGCATTCCTTAACCTTTAAATTCTAAATTAAATGCAAGTTTTAGTATTCTGGAAAGTGTTAATGTTTGTGCAGCAGTCAGAGAGAATTATCTCTATACTTTATAAATCCTGACCCAAGCAAAGTGAAAGGGATGTTCCAATGTTTATTTTCTCACGTAAAGAAGTTAAGATTAGTATCAAAATCTTTGCTTCTCCTCCTAAAACTGTTCAGGATGGTTTAGTAAATTCTTTGTTTTGGTGATGGACCCCTATAAGATCACGCTCAATTCAAGAACAGCAAGTCACCTGAGTAAAACACCTCTTTTTATTTGTTTTATTGTTTTGTATAAGCCAGTATTAATCTGTGGGTCTCAGGTATATGATTTCTTAGCCTATTTTAATTTAAAATTTTCCATCGATTATGGTAACAAACATATGAATAAAGAAAATAATAAAAAAACACTCATATCTGGAAACGGAAACATTTTCCAAACTTACTAACACAGATCTGAAAAATCCCACTCATACATTTAAACTTTTACATGAACCCTCTGTAATAAAGCCTCTTATCAAATAGTAATGTTCTAATTAAATTAATTTGTATTTTAGGCCATAATCATCAAAATTAGCTGAAATTAACCTCTGAAATAATCACTTTTGGAGAAAATCCTCACTGTTAAGTTACTGAAAGGAATTAGCTTTTCAAAGTTTTGTTTAATTGAGATGCAACTCAATGCATATTTGGGTACCAGTACACCTACTATGCAGGTACATAGATGGTGCATGTTTGTTGCATGAATTAAAGTCCGCATAGTGAGGCTGCCGCACAGAGCACTTTTAGAGACAAAGAGGGGATATTTTTGGGCGATGAGTTTGTATGCAGGTTAATAGGAGGCAGTTGTGCGAAGCTTCGTGTTCAGGAGCGATAGAGTAAAATCCTTTCTGCGCAGTCCTGACCGACCAGGCTGGCGTACTGCTGCACCTCTGCCTGGTCGCTGGGCCCCTTACGTTTACGGCTGTAGATGGCGTAAGGCATGACGGTCCGCCTGTTCAGCACCAGAGCTCTGCCCACATCCTTCACCGCTCGTGCGTCTCCTAGACAGAAAACAAGCACGTATTAAAAAAAATAATCAGGACCACTGTGGACCCATCCAACCCTATAAACTTCGGTCCTTATTTTTCTTTGCTCATTTGAATTAACCTTAGAGTGCCTTGGCAAGGATGCCTCATTATTCCGAGAAGCTGTTGGAGGGGATCTAACTCCCTTGTGCCTTAAAGTTTGAGTCATGTCAGTGCGTGAGCAGGATAGTTAGTTGGTGTTACTCACAGTGCCTGTGCCAAACAATACCAGCTACCTTGTCTGTGTGTGTTCAGAAGCTACGAGCGGCTCTCTGGAGAGTCGGGTGGAAAAAAAAAAAAAGGTGAAAAACGTTGACCCAGTCAAACCCTTAAACCGCTGCCTCCAGGAGAGAGAGCCCGAGCCAAGCTGCTAACAGCTGGCGCCAAGAGGAGGAGGAGGGCACAGCAGGGAGCGCCCGGTGAGCCAACCAAACACAAATATACTCTGCAACAGGTAAGAACGCATGCCAGCATCAAACTGAAAACAAAGAAACCTTTTTTTACTCATTGGAGGGGTTTTATTTCTAAACACACAACTTCTAACATTTCCTATTCATCATTTCGACATCTACTCACCAAATTTTGGGGATCTGGGCCCCAACAAAACAAGAAAAGAAAGAAAAAAGCTGCAGGACTGTGATTACTAGAGTTTGACACATTGGAAGGAGGATGTTAGAGATGGAGCTGCTGGGAAGGAGAAAAAGAGGAGGAATCATGGTGATAATGGAGCAGGACAAGGAGATAAGTGGTGCCACAGTTAAAGAGATGGAACAGGAGAAGATGCGCTGAACAGAGCACTCGATATCGTCACATAAGCTGTGACCAGCTTCAAACCAGCATTATGCTGCTAACACCATGATTCAATCTAGAGCAGGGGTTCCTAAATATTTCAGTCTATAATCTCCAAAATAGAGACTGACACGGGAGTGGATTTTCACTCCTGTC